TTTTTTTTTTTTTTTTAAAAAAATGCATCTTAGGGGACTATAAGGGGCGGGCACAGTAAGCGGAACCCAGAGAATCGCTTTGTGAAAACAATTTTTCCTGCGAACACGTAATGACGCAGAAGCTCCGCGGAAGCATTTCTTCACGGAAGGTTCGCGGAAGCATATGTTTTCAGCAAGCCTCCACGTGGATCGTCTTCAAGGTCTCCTCACGGAAGCAAGTCCCGAAATGCAGCTGAGAAAGGACTGTGGAAGGGGGCAGAAGGCAGAAGGAGCAAAGACTGCAAACGCTAGTTACTCATGAAAGCTACATGGAAGGCCTTCCGCCAAGAAGAATTCCTCTGACTGACAAATTTTGTCAGGTTATGGGTGGGCATGGTAAACTCTCTGTTCAAAAGCTCAAACGTTTAGGCTAAGCCTGTGCCACCCAGGGCGTGGCTTCTTCAAACGGTTTGAAGCGAGCCATTACTCCGGCAGAGCCATATCCGTTGCATATCCTGTGTCAGCTGCAGCTGCCTGCTTCGGGTCTCATCTGTGACCCTAACGGCTCAGGGCTCGTAGAGGCTTATGGTTAGGTAGGAAGCTGCAGCCAAAGCTTTCTGTTCACACTGAACCTGTATTTTTTATTGGACCGTGTATGCTAGCACCCTATGCCCGCAAAACCGTTCAATCGGCATCATGAAGCATTCAACTGAAACCTATAAGAGCGACTTAACTTCGGGCTCGGAATTAGTTGATGTCCTTAACCCCTGCACTGTGGTACTCCAAATGTGAGGTAGCCGAACTGATACAAGAAGCGGAGGCTTTGGCAGCAGAGGTGGCCTTGCGGTTCTTGGTTCTGGCATTTCAGGGGTTGCACGTCAGGGTGCATGAGTGGAGGTTTCAAAAATGTTTCTTAGCAGAACAGGCACAAGTTGTTGACATGGCAGCAGTAGCCTCAGTAGCCCCACCGCAGGGAAACAGCCGATCAACCTAAAACAGCATCTGCTGGCCCTGCCCCACTGCATGGAGCATCATCAACGACACCCTAAATATTATGGTTTTGATTGTTACGTTTGCTCCCACGACGACAGCTACTATGGGCCCCACTAGTGTTAGTAAGTATTTCTGTTGCTGCTATCAACGCAGCTGCAGCTCCTACTTCTCCTCCAGGATGCGCCGCTGCCGCCGCCGCCAACAGCAACAAAACCACCACCGCCGACAGCAGCAGCAGCAGCACCACCACCACCTCGGCCGCCACCGCCCGCACCACGCACCGCCCATCGCTGGCTGTTAGCATTCCCTCCGTTAGTATGACAACAAATGATTTGAATTGTTGTTGCCCAAGCCAGGCCACACTCTGCGTTTCTGTGGCACTGACTGCCTCTGTGGCGCTTCTGTTGGCAGCTCTAGTTGCTGCTTGGGCGATATGGTAGCTTCCGTGACTCCTGAATGGGCCCAAGAAGCAAAGCTCAGAATGTGGCGCGGAGGCGCCTAAGCAACTCAAGAGGGTAAAGCCCAAGTCCTCAGAAGCTCGCATCATGTGAGAGGTTTGAGCACCTACTCATGTCATGACTTCTATATGTCACAAAAGGCCCACCCACATCTGGCAGAAAGCTTGAGGAGGCTGCCTTAGGCACATCTCCTCATAGCAAGTTGATATTATGCCTGAGGCCTCGACTACGCTGCTACAAGGACCACTTTCCACGTTCAAACAATTCGGGACTTCGACCTTTGCTACTTACAAACGGCATCGGCCACATTGAGCAAGCGGAACATGTTGATTGACAAGCTTATCCTCTCTGTAGCACCAGAGTGAAGATAGGTGGTACTGTTTCAGATCAGAGGGCAGGGGTCCTCTTTGCAGCAGTGTCCTTGTGGGGCGCGCAGAGGCAACCTATTGTTTCCGGAACCTTGGAGCTGCAAACTCTCTGCGGGGAAAACATTCATCGGAAGCTCTTCTGGGATTACACATTACAAGCCGTTCAATAGCACGGGCCGGGCACGATGTTGTAGAAGCCTGCAGCCTTCAAGGCTTGGTCTCGGGGAAGTTGCGATTTGTTTTCTCGCGGGTTGTACTGGGATCTTTTGTGAAGGGAACCATGTTTCGCCGAGCGCAACTCGTTCCTGGAAAGTACCATATGCCTAGTAGCGCTCCCTCTCATGGTCCTCATTGGAGGAAGCAGCAATGATTGGGAATCAACCGTAACGTAGACGTAGTCCATACGTAGGACCTAGATCGTCCCTTCGGAACTCTGGAAGCCCACAAAATCAGACATTGTCATGAGGCACCCAGCATACACCACGCATGGAGGGTGCAAGCCGTGCAGATGGACAGTTCCTGAATTGCGTGGGCTTCACAGGGCAGGTAATGGCGGGAGATTGCGGGAGTGTGCAACAAAACGAGAGATCCCTTGGTCGAGGCTATCCTTCGGTTTAACTAGAGGCCATGCCCAGGAATCTCAGCTGTGTGGCAGACGGGAGGGCAGTGCTCACAACAGATGTCTCTCGGAGCGGGCATACCGGCACCATCTGCCCAGTAGAGCTTCGCGGAATCATGTCTCAGGTGCCCTTGGCTCTTGCTTGCCTGCGGTTCAAGGTTGTAGTCCTTGTCAGCAAATTCCTCTGGTGTAGCGGTAGCTTCTGGCTAGAATGGAGCGTTGCCGGACGCTACTGCGGGAGCTGAGCAAGGAGATAGAGGCCCAGTATGCCATGATAGATGACCTCCGTCTAAAGAACCACCAGCTGGAAGATTCATTGACGTTGGCCAGCTCCCAGGCCTTGCAGGCGATTTCATCTCGCCCGCCCTTGAGGGCGTCTCCATCCAAGTCCTGGGATCTGGTGGCCAGCAGCACTGCAACCACTTCCGCTCAACAACCAGCTCGGCCGATGATCTCGGGTCCTGTCACACCCCCACTGTGGCTCCGCACTGACGGGCCTGATGCTCTTTGCGAGGAGGAGGCGGAGGAGGAGTTGGAGACGGATGATCTCCAAGAATTCGACGCGGCAAGAGGAACCTCAGAACGTTCGATTCGCTCCAGCCGCGGCTTGGGATCCCGCGTCTTGGGATCGCGTGGCTTGGGGTCCCGTGGCCTGGCTACACAACAGTCAGCAAGGCCGCGCACGACCTCCAAGCAGTCCAAGGCGGGAGGGCAGAAGTCATAAGAGAAGACAGCAGGTACAAACAAGGGTTCCTAATGCTTTGCTCGTTGCTTACTAGGTTTGCCTCGTGTGCGCGCGTTGTGCAACTTCCTGTGTCCATGACCAGGTCATTGACGACGGTATCCACTTCACAGTGCTGAGGGCGCACAAGACTGGAATGTTAACAGTACAGAAGCCATGGTTTGTGATCAACCCAGACCGAAGTAGGCTGGCCAATGTTTGGAAGTTCGTCATGAGCTTTGCCCTTGTTTTTGTTGCTCTGGTCACGCCAATACAGGTGTCATTGCTGGAGGCCCGTTGGGATGGCGTCTTTGTTGTGGGCCTTGTGGTAGACTTTATCTTCTTCATAGACCTTCTGATGCAATTTATTACTGCGTACGCCACGACAACACCATATGGTGTCGTTTGGGAAGTGCGAGTGTCTTACATTTGTAAGCAGTACATCAAGACATGGTTTCTGGTGGACCTCATCACAGTGATTCCCTTTGACCTTATGGCTCTCACTCTGCAAGTAGAGGAGTTGAAGGACCTCGTGGGAATCAAGGTGGTGCGAGCCCTGCGACTTATCAAGCTCGTGCGACTCTTGAAGTCATCAAAAGTTTTGCAGGACCTTGAGGCTCCTCTGTCCATCCCCTATCAAACAGTAGCCCTTGTCAGATTTGTTTTCGTTTTGGCTTTGACCTGCCACTGGCTTGCGTGCTGTTGGGCCGTGACGCTTTCTGTTGTCGATGAGAGCTTCCCGCGGTGGATTGATGACATTGAGGCAGCAGACCTGCCATATGGAGTGATTACCACGCAGTCCCCGTACCGGATTTATGTGGCCTCCTTCTACTTCTGCGCCTACACCATCACTTCAGTTGGCTATGGTGATATCGGCCCCAGGAACCTTCTTGAAAGGATTTGCTGTTCAGTGCTCGTCCTGGCAGCTGGCCTGTGCTGGGCCTATGTTATCGGAGAAGTGCCCAGGAAGCAATCAAGCGCAAGCCCCTCAACACCTACTCGTATGCAGAAGTCATACTAGCGGGGACCTTCTTGCAAAACATGGTTACTGGATGTTACTGGTAGCAGAAGTAGTTAGGTTTGATGCCAAGTCATTGTTAACATATTCAACCAACGTGTTTAGCTTTTCCCAAGCTCCAGGTTGGCGCCATCACAGCGGACATGACAGCCGAGAGCCAAGAGTTTCGGAAAAGAATGCACCACCTGAACAACATGATGAGTGATCAGAGGCTCCCACGAAATTTGCAAGTGCGTGTTCGACGCTATTTCTTGCAGAACAGGCATCACTCCTTGCATATGTCTCGGCAGTCTCTTCTGAAGCGGATGAGTCCGCAGCTCCAGGCTGAGGTCTCCCTGATGACAAACCTCTTGTGGCTCGAGAAGGTAAGTTTCTTCAAGAGTTTCATGGGCTACATCGAGCAACAGAACAGGCTTGGGGTATGGACAACTCCTTACGAGACTTGCGTTGCGGATGTGGCGAGAGCCCTCAACATCGCAGCCTTTGCGCAGCAGGAAACTTTCCACAATGTGCAGGCAGGCAGTGCTAGCTGATGCGACACGTAGACTGCATGTGTGAATTTGGCATGGCAAGTGGCACGCACAAATAACTTGCCCTATGTCCTCAATCAGGTAGTCATGTAGCTGAAGCACCCATCAACCCAGATCAGAAACGATTGTCATGTCAGCACTTCTCAGCGTACAGCCGTCAGGGCATGCGCTCCTGATGAAATGTGAATGAAACGGTCTGCGCATAAACTGTCCAAGCGTTGAAAACTGAAGAGACCTTGCCCTTCAAGCGCGGAATGCGCCTGTCAAAGCATAAATGCAACAGCAACGAAAATCTAGCCATTGTCCTCGATGCGCAGGTGCTTTACATCCTCTCGAAGGGCTTGGTGGCTTTGAACAGCCGGGTGCGATCCATCGGCGTCGTTTGGGGCGAGGACTTCGTGCTGTCGGACACGTCTCTGATCCGACCCATCGCCTGCTACGCGCTGACCTATGTAGAGCTTCTGAGTCTCACAAGGGATGACTTCATGCAAATCATACAGCGGCGACGCTTCACCTGCCCTGAGCTCTTCCGTATCGTGCGACGCTACTGCGTCAGGATCGCAGTTTACAGAGGCATTTTGGCCGAGGCACGGCGGCGGCAGCTGGAGAAGATCAAAGCAGAGGTGCCAGCCGCCCGTTTTTTCCCACTGCCTTTTAGATTCCAGTAATAAACGGGTTTTACAGGCATTCCCTAGATCCGCTGCCACAGGTGGCGAGGGCAAAGGCCGAGGAGAAGAATGCCAAACAAGACGACAAGGACCATGTCAGGTGCAAAGTACAGAGCCCGCCAGCACTTCCTGGTCAAATCGTTGAACCCTATGCTGGGTCATCTTTCATAAGGTGAAGCCTCAGAGGAGTTGTACAAGCTCTCTGATGGCTGTGTGCTAAGTGCCCAGGTGATGGCAAGACCGCAGCAATATCCTCACATGAAGTTGCCTAGCCGGTTTAGCATTTTAGCTGCATTGATAAGCTCACGCACACAGGCGGCTTGTGAACATGATCCTCAGGTTTAGTTCGTTGATGTTCGTTGTACAGGTCATTTCAGGTAACTACCATGTGTAGTGGCTCCGTTTGGACCCCCTGAGCACGAGAGACAGAGAGAGAGAGCTGTCTTGATAAGATCTCATTCAATGACTGGATACATGCTCTGGGCTTTTATATGCCCGAGGGAAGGGAACGTAGCCAGTAGTTTAGGGACGTCGGGACGCCATTCACTTCCTCCCACGACGCACCGTGGCACCCCCGGACAAAGCTGCACATGGAGTTTGTGCAGCGTCCCGTTTTTTGAAACGTTTTGCTGAGCTAGGGACCTGTTTGCTGAAGCAGTATGAGTCCAGGCCATCGCAGTGTTTAAGTCCAAAGCTGTCTCACGTCAAAACTGCCAAAGTAAGTCGGCAGAGGTGACAGTGGTCGCCACGCGCCTTCATGCCTGCTGCTGTGGGTATGTAGCATGTATTTGCACGAGAGAAGACGTTCGTGCTTGGCAGAGACGGCATGCATCGGAGGCGTACCTTGCTGAGCTGGTCTTTGGTCAGGCACATGTACGGCCAAAAGCTCCCAGCTCATTTTATGCCAGGGGGCATTGCAGGAATTAGAGCTACGCACCACATCTCCATGGACTTCAATGCAGATTGCTTCAGCGTGTTGGCTGTGATGCACACCCTGCCGTAGTTCGTAGATCTCATTATGCCAGGGACAGAAATGCCGGAGCTCAAACATTGATTTCTGCGATGGTTCATATAGTACCAACAGTCAAGGATACTTACAACATAGGAGCACCAGAGCACGTTGGGCAGCATGCTGCATCATGTTGGACTGAATGGCATTTTTGTGCCCAGGCTTTTCTCTTGCCCCACAGAGAATGGCATTTTTGTGCCCAGGCTTTTCTCTTGCCCCACAGAGGTGCCTTGCAGCCGCAGCACAAGGCAGTGAAGTGCGCAAGGCATCATCAGTGAGGACTGCCTCGTTAGTGCAGCTTTTGATAGGCCGCTACTCGCTGAATGGCGCGAAGCGTCCCAGCAGAGATAATCTCCGGGGCAGACGCCCCGTTTCATGTCTCACACAATGACATGTCCGTATGAAGGTCAGGACCCAAGGAAAAATGAATGTGTGCCTCAATACGACCTGAAGTTCACGGCCGACTCATGATCTGATCGAAGCAGGCCTACCTCCTGAGCAATGGTGTTGTAGCTTGAGTTAGCAGCAAGATGCAGGGCCATGTACAATGCCTGGCCTTCATTGTGTCTGTCAATAATGCCAAGATCCTGCAGCAATGCTGAGGTCTCCACAGCTGTCGTAAGACATCCGCATTTTATGTCCGAAGCATGCGCAGCAGTCCCATAATCACAGCCAATGACCTGTAATCAAATATGGATTGCACGTCCACGTTACTGTGACTTTCCGTCTGCATGGCTTCATCGACAGAGTCGGCCCAGCAGCTGCTTCGAGCACTCCAGCAGGGAAACGCAGAGCTTGTCCGAGCACTGGATGAGGACAGCAGTTCAATTGACGCTGTTCCAGAGGAGGACTGCGGCGATGTTGGGCGGGGCAGCCTGCTGATCCATGCAGCTCATGCCGGCAATTGCAAGGCAGGTCGTCGGAGCACAGTTACTGGATTCAACATTCAAAGAACAAATTAGTCCCTTCCCATTTTTAAAAGGCGCACCCCCCCTCCCCCTCAAAAAACAAGCGAACAATCCGCCGTTTGAAGGGCTCTATGAAGAAGTATAGAGGGGATGTCTACCACTAGTAGATTCCAATCAATTATTTGCACGCATTAGATTCTTGCTTTTATTCATTTATATCTAACTGTATTTTTTGAAAAGAATGACCGTGAGGGCCGTGAGTTGGTATTTTTATGGAAATATATCTAGCACGGGAGGAAAGAAAGAGGCAGAGGACTTGCATTCTGGAAAGGGCTGGACGAGGGGGAAGGGAGGTGGAGGGGTGGCTTTGACTTCTCACATTTTGCCGTTGCGAAATGCAGAGCTGTCTTCGTACCCCCAATCTTTGGACTCTCCAAAGTTGCAGGTGCTCCTCGTAAATGCAGAAATGTCGTGGTTTTTGGAACGCGTGCCCCTCGCAAAGTGCCCACCTGTCGTCACTTTTACAGCCCGGATCCCTCGATCCTCCACATGTTGCCCCTGCACAGTTGCATGCGTCGGTTCCTCGCAGAGTGTAGAACTGTGGACCGCCAATCCCCCAACCTGAGCCTTGACCGTGAAAAGTTTCATGGACTAGTGGGGCAAGCCAACACGTGGCATTGCGCGTGTGGGAAAATATGGATAGAATATGACATCGTTGTGCTCCAGGCAACAACATCTGCGTCCTTGTTGTGTTCCAAAATGACGCTAATCAGTGTTCCAAAATGCACTCTCATCCGGCAATCCTCAGATGCAAACTCCAAAACCTCGATCCATCAAGCCGAATCCTTGAGTCCAAGCCTTACGCCCTAAACTCGCTGCATCTGAAACCTGAATCCTGAAACCTAGCCTTCCTTGAACCCTAAACCTAAACCACTACTCCGAACCAAGAAGCGTATATTCAACCCTAAATCCTGAACCTTAACCCTACGCCCTCTAGACCTTAGACCCCAACCTTAAATACCCTAGTCCAGCAACCCTAATCCCTGTAAACCCACGCCCCAAACGGTGAACCCTAATCCTCAGCCATATACCCCTCAAGCTCGTGCACAGTACTGTGATGTTGCACATCCAAGCTGATTCTTTCTCGAGTTTCAACAGTTTCTTTGCGCGGCTGCGCACTCTGCGTTTCCCCAACTTTCGAAGGAAGAACCGGCATCGACTCCTCCTTTTCTTGTGTGCGTTCCAACATGGGCTTGCAGTGAGAATTCACAGATGGGCACAGCTGTGAGCCAGTTCACGCGTGTGTGTTCTCTTGCGGCTGTGAGCCAGTGATCTTTGTTCAGCAGCAACTCATAGGTGGAGCGGCTTAGTAACAACCCAGGTCCGGCCGCCACAGGGCGCTGAGGTTTCCTTTCCTTGAGTCATGTAATCCTCATAGCAACATGAACTTCGTATAGCCTGCTTTGTGGCCCTGGTATGACCCCATAATATGTCACATAAATCTTGGTCCACATTGGAACAGGCACATGGATATTTTACAGCCGTTTTGTTATTCCCGAGCACAAAGTATGCATCACTATGGATGAGCACAATTGCTATGAAAAGCGTATAGGCCTCATAGGATGGTCATGGCCTAGGTGCATGTGCAGATGTACCTATATGTCACATGCGCACGTACGTATATTCAGAGGTGTTGTGCTTGACGCTTATGTAGGCCAATCAGATCAAGGAACTCATATCCACGTAATCGTTGCATAAATCTTAGGTGCTAGGAGAGGATTGATGACCAGGTGATTCAACGTGATGCAGTGGCTGAAGTGGTGTGAGATTTATCCGGCCATGTGGGCTAGAAAGCACTTTAGTCTGGCAGTAGCAAAACAAGGTCACGTGATCCACACGTGGCTGCGGGAGCCAAGTTCAAGTGGCTGACAAGCGCTTCTCGAGAACGGTTTGATTCACATGGGCGTCAACGCGGCGACGAATTCAGTGGAGTTCTGCCCGCCTTCTGTTGCAGCAGGGAGTTCCCTAGCAATGTGCTAAATCAAGCAAAATAAACACCGTCTCGAGTGGCGACTTCTGTAGCAGTGTAGCAAACCCATGGCCGGTGAACACGGCACCATGTAGTCGACAGAAGAGGGATGCCAAACTTACACTCAAGACGTTCTTGGGAAGAAATATGGACAGAACCAGCCCAGGGAGACGAAACACAGACGACAAAAAAGGACGAACGAACACACACTTACCAAGATCTGTCTGAATACATGATCCCGGTTCTCGTTTCACCAGCCTCCCCCCCCCCCATGGTATGCCCCACCCCACCCGCCTTTCGGGGTCGCCATCCTCGTAACTATCATCGTTTTTGACGCCTCAAAGTCGCCATCCTCGTAACTGTCGTCACTCTAAGCCCCTCGTGCTCTCGCCGCGTGTCTCAAGAGTACCAACAGTCACAGGGATTGTTGTCGCACGGGTAAGCACAATGACCCGCGTGGTGCTCATCTTATATAAGCTTTCTATAAAAATCATAAAGCTTTGTAGACCTTCTTGAAATCTTGTGTGAACTGTTGAGAACCCTCTTGATAAACCCTCCATAGACCTAACGTAAAGGCCACAGGCCACCACACCACAAGGGGGGGTGGAGTAATAGGATAACAGCTTTCTACAAACACTTTCAACTCCATAAACTTTCATGGAAACCACCAGACCTAGACCACAGGCCACAGGACCACCGGGGGACAATAGTTTAGTCCTGACTTAGAGCCATAAGATAGCCACCACCAAGGGGTGGATGTTCTTAACCCCAAGCCCCAGCAGCGACACCACAGGAGGGGAGGGGTAAATCTCAGTTTTTCCAACCGACAACCACCCTTTCCCGCAGCATGGAATTGGGGGGGAAATGGTTTTGATTGCTCAACTGACTCACCGAACAGCTCCAATCCTTTGCGATTTTCTGGCTGACCCCATCTTGCCTGCATGAGGCACATCCTTCAATTTTGCCCACCGCGCGCCACCCCGAAACGAGGAGCCAGAGATCTCGGGCAAAGAGGCTCATTAGGCTGGTCATCCCTCAGGACCCCGGGGAGCCTTAGGATCTGTTCTCTCAAGCGACACATCGCCAGGCTGTTGAGACTTTGGTGTTGTACGGAGCTGACCTACGTGTTATCTCCAGCGAAAAGGTTGGCAACGTGGTTGACTGGTTGTGCTGGCGCACAGACTCGCGCGTGCCTGACGTACTGGAGCTGGTTCTGCGCAAGTGGGCGAGCTACGGAGATGATGAGGCGGACTTGGCCAGAGTCTTTCGTTTCTTTGGGAAAGGTCATGTGCACTGTAAGGGTATTGGGCAGTAAGATGCTGGGTGTCTAAATGATGAGTTTGTGGAGTGCACTTTGTGTAAGAGTATACCACAACAACAAGCAGCCATCAGCAGCCACTTTAGCCGCAGGCTGCCTATGTCAAATGTGCTAGACGTATTCCATCCCTGCTACCGCATACCTGATAATGTAATGAACACAGGGCTGCCTTTGCAAGCTTCCGGCTTGCAATGAATCAGCCAATGTGTTGGGTACAGGCCGGTCAAAATCAGAATAAGTAATGTTGTGAAACTGCATGGTGATTGCTTACGAGACGATGCGCCAAGCCCTGACCAATGGTGCGGTGTGTCACAACTTGTTGATGTAAGGCATCGGAGAAGCACCTGTCTCTAAGGTGTTGTCCATGCTCAACACCCCACGGCATCTGGGCCGCACGCCCCTCATGATCGCCGTTTTTGCACCCAATGTCGGAGCGGCAGAGGTGCTGTTGCAGCATGGCGCGGACGCCACTTACGCAGGCACAGATGGATCGTGTGCACTGGATCTGGCCGCACAGGTGGGCGGCAGCAGGGGCACGCAGCTTGTTCGCCGACTCCTGACTGCACGTGCTGACCCCAACGTAGGGGCGATCGGGCCGTTGTTCTTGGCAGTGCAGGAGCAGCTCGGACTGTAAGTAAACCATGTCGGCACAAGCGCAAGAGCACGTTAACAGATGATGGTTATATGACATCAAACTATATAGGGCAAGACGTGAGGATGCAATTTCGTTTTCTTTCGAGAGGAGAGACGTGACTTGGACGTAGTGAGGAACAGCGAGGCAGCGGTGAAAGATTTGTTGGAAGCCAAAGCACGGCCCCAAGGGCTGATGCGGGAGAGCACGACGACACCAACCGAGTGCGCGGCGCGATTTGGGTTTCTCAGGGTACTGAAGCTGCTTCTATCAGCAGAAGGGGCGCCAAGAGGTGACCGGTCTTGAAAGCAGGTTGAATTCAGCAAGTTTTTAAAATTTATTTCTCTTGTGATGGGCTCCCCAGGTGCGGATTTGAAATCAGCCTTGACCTTGGCTCGCGAAGCTGGCCACCGTGATGTCGAGCGTGTGCTTATCAAGGCTGGCGCGGCGCCTGACCAGAAGCGGCCAGCAGAGGAAGCACTGGATGACCAGTTGTTGCTTCCATCCGGCTTCATGCCTGGCAAGGCAGAAGGTGCAGCCTCTGACCAGATCCAGGTGGATGAGGTCGAGGCCTATCGACTCCGCTTTCAGGGCAACAGCTACATGACAGCGACGGCGGCCACGCCGGTGCGGATGTGCGAGATGCATGACTCCTTCTACTATGAGGTTTTGGTGGAGGCAGCCTTTGCCATCAGTGTGCTAGAAGGAGTAAATACTGTAGTGGGGCTTCAGATGCATCACTTATCGAGAGGCCCTTCTCCCTTTGTAGGAGCTTGACTTGCTGATGGCCTTCGGCTACGCCCGGGAGCCCGAGACTCCTTTGGCAACTCTGCCCGGGTGGCTGGCAGGGACCTATGGCCTACATTCAGATGACGGGCTGCTTCAGGCAAACACTGCAGAGACGCGGGTACTGCGCGGGTGGACCATTAAGAAAGGCAGCACTGTCGGAATGGGGGTAGAGTGGCCTCCTGACTTTGCTCAGCTTGTTTGACCTGACCATTATGTGTTGGTGACTTCTAGTGGCCATCAGGGCTCGAATATCGCAGCCATAAGCCTACGATGTGTCTTTCCGATCCTCTCTTTGTGTTTAGAACCCAGGTCAGCGGAGGCGAAAGAGTACCAACTCTTCGTCACTCTTGACGGTCAGCGTCAGCCCCGGACTGTGCCTTTGGCGGACGACCAAACTGACGCCTTTGACCTGTACCCCATTGTGGGTGCGGACCGCCCTGCTGTTCTTCGGGTCAACCTGGGCGACCGCCCGTTCATGTACCAAGCCGACAGGGTGGCGCATGCCCTGGAGAAGCGCAGAGCTGCCAAGCTCGAGGCAGCCAAGAAGCCACGTTGAGCTCCTGAGGCAAAAAAAAAGAGAAGAAAAGCGCCCCCCCCCCAAGAACAGCAGGTGCCTAAAGCGGGATGGGATAGTCTAAGATGTGCATGCAACAGCTTCAGACCCCGGCTCCCAAGTCTACCCAAACAAAGCACGGGAAACGGAGTCGGTTATCTTCTCTCAGGTTTTCGTCGCTTCGTTTTGTGGGTCAGGTATTTTGTTAGTGCGGCAGAAGCTATCCGCAAGCACGCTGCAAGGTCAGGCCGGTGCTTGACTAAAGCTCCGGCAGCAGTAGACTTGAGCTCGTGCATTCGTCATGGCAGGTCGGATCACATTATCCGTTTGCTTGCGATGAACAAGCAAACAGATCCAGCTCTGACAGGTGGAACGCAGAGGATGACTCCATACATGTAATCGGGCGTTGCAATGCCTCCCTATGTTCATGCAGACTTCCTCTCGGCAGACTAACGAATGTAGACAACAGCCACGAAGCATTCAGACATTCTCTTCATGCAGGATTGCGTTCAAGAGCGGAGACCCAGGCCACGCAGGTTGGAACAACAGCTGCCATTTTTCTACTGCTTGTACCAGAGACATTCCAACAGCAAACGCAGCTTGTAAAGACACAGGCGCCTGATGGTCTCCAATATACCCATGACATGCTCACTAAGCTTGAGTGTCAGGCTTCTGATTTAGGGAAAGAGTAGGTGGTGCATCGACCTTGGCCGCACGCTGCAGCCGTGTTTTTTTTCGGGTTGGCTTCCTCCAGCGCTCGGGCGCAAGAGCAGGCAGGAAGGCTCGGTAGTTGTGAGAGCTTTCGGAAGTATGTGGCAGCAGCATTTGAGTAGGTACCAGCAGCCGCAACAGCAGTGGCACATCGCATGCCCCGGGTCACCCAAAGCCCTCCCTTCGGGTTCAGTGTTTGGGGTTGTTTTGAGGTCGGTTTGAAGGCCAGGAGTAATGAAGAGTGTAGCGTTTGGAGATGTTGAAGGTTTAGGGTTTCAGGGTTGGGGTTCTTCAACCTTTTGGGGTTGTTTCGGACCTGCCGGACCCAGACCGCCCAAAACCTGGACTGCCCCAACCCCGATCCCCCACACTCGGACCCGGAACCCGAGTCCCGGCCGAACCTGCACCCGGACTCCCCATTACCAATGCTATTAAGTACTGTAGCATTCTTATCCTGACCATTTCTACTTATTCTTATGGTTTTCATTCTACTCAGTGTTCTGATTAGCACCATTCTTATCATATGTTCATTGTACATAGTTCTTCTTACTGCTATTATTATTATTAGTAGCATTTTCGATATATCCGAACCATATAGGTTACGGCGTCGAAGTCAACCGCTGTGCTTTTTTGTACTTTTGGTAGCCTGTCTGAATTATGCTTTGTACCATTATCATCATACTCTTACTATTCCAGCGGTGGGGTGGACATCCGCGGACAGACGTGGCCACAAATAAAGTAGAAGCATGAGCTAAAGTTGAAGGCATGGAGAAGGGAAGAAGCAACATGTTCGGGAACTTCACTTCACTCCATGTTTGCTTTGTAAGGGAACCCGCCAACAACAACAAGCGTTGGGCGTAGCATGCTGCATTTAAGGTGTCATAGGAGATCAGTAGGAAGGGGGTGCTGAGCAGGGTTTTGTCAGGTTTGCTCCTTCTCCAGGTATGCTAAGGGTGGTCTTGGCTTGCTATGCCGCATGGTAAAGGCCTCATAGTCCCGGAGTCCTCAGCCTGCTGGGTCCTGAGGGCGCGCTGAAAATGTAAGGCTTACCGCGGCTTACCGCGCAGTGGATCTTAGTGGAGAAGGTGGCAATGGATTACAAAGCTTATGATCGGGGATTGTAGTGGCATGGGTATTTTTGCAGGGCTCAGTCGGTTTCCCTACTAAGTACATGATGATATGTCGGACTTCCAGTGCTATCTGCCCTGTGAGCGTTGAAGCCCTGATTGAGCCTCATCGCTAACTCCGATGAACATAAGCACAGGCACACTTTGCTTTCCAGAAAACGTGTCTGGGATATTGCATGGTTTTCATTTTTGCACTTCAAGTAAAGGGATCTTGTGAAATGTGTGCTTGAGGTCTCTGATAACCTTATGTAATGAAAAGGAATTTCCTTTCCTGCTCCCATATGTAAGCCCTGCACAAGGAAAGACATTTTACCTCGAATCATCAATGGAATGAAGCACGACTTGCTTGTCGACGCGCTTTGTTGAAGCCCCAACAAGCTAACAAAAACAAATGATGCACGGCACGTGCTTGGCTCAGCAGTAGGCCATGGCCTTCACGGCCGAGCGGCGTCAGCCGGGGGAGTACGGGGACATGCGGGGCATCACTCAGGAGCGCGACGCTAGCAGCCATAAGCATTTGGGCATTTGACGGGCTTCAAAGGGGTTGTATAGATGCCGCACAACATCTTTTGCTGGAGGTAACTTCTTGGGGGCACTTCTGCTGCTCAGGGCTGGACCAAGCCATCAGGTCATCAGGTGCAAAAAATCCTATCTTTTTGCGGTTGTGGAGGGACCATCAGGTGGAGAAAGGTTTCAGGATTTTGCTGACCCCACTGCTTCGCCACCTATTGTCGACTTGCTCCTTCTTTCGTTCTGCTTGCTATTTTTGGGGGACTGACCCCTACCTGCCAACGGCTTTCGCTTTGATCTATCCCATGTCGCGAGGATGAGGTCTCGAGACTCCAGAAGGCGAGTGGGTAACGTGGTATGCCCGCAACAGCGGCCACAGGGAACAGATCCGAAATAGGTTGAAGTGTGCTCTAGTCTATGAAGCAAGGTGTGGGTGGGCTGCATGCAGCGCTGCAAGACATGCCAGCATCAACGACTTCTTGCCCCTATGGCCTTTGCCATTGACTGACATGTGACTACATGCCTTCACGTGAGGAGGACACGTGCGCAGCAATTGCTGCGAAAGTCAACTGTTTCCAAATTCTGCGACAACCCTAGAAGAGCCACTTTAACTTGTGGCTGGCCGTAGATGCCTTCCAAGAATCATTGGGCGGCATGGAAGCAGGGTTTTGCAGTGGCAGGTACAAAACGTTGAGATGTCTCGTGGAAGCCGTTGCAACCAAGTTGAAATTGCGTGTCGCAGGCCATGAAGCAGGAGGAGTTCCGAAAACACATCGATGAGTGAGGGTCTCTTCTTCCTTGTCTGACGGCCCTTGCAGAACATAGGATGCTGGTGGCTTCAGTCTTTCTACTGGTGACAGTTTGGCTTGGGAGTTCAGGGGCAGTTTAGTCTCTAGCTTGCTCTGCTAACCTCTGATGATTTTTGGGAGTTGTGACATGTTTGGCCTTGCCAGGGTGGTGGGCAGCTGAGGGTGTCTTTCTGAGGTACACGCGAGAGGTCTCCGATCCGGCACACCGGCAAGAGTACTTGGATTACCTGGCACAGATCGAGGCTGGGGACTTAGCAAACTCCGCCCCGTTGGAGCCTTGGCATCTAGAACTTAGGACAAATCCTTCAAAGGTGAAATCTTTTTTCGTGTCCAAACCCTGAAGTCCGACAGACACTTATGCAGCCTCCAGCGCAGGGGTCTGTGTTGGGCTAGGGTCATGCCAATCGCTCTTCAGTTGTTGTGCATTCTTTGTCCGTGTTCATTTCTGTCAGAAGACATCTAAGCCATTATGTTTCGGCCCTCTCCTTGAAGCCCGGTGCCGATATGTTCAGAGCCTTAGCGATTCATCCCTGCCGAGCTCGAACCGATTCAGCGCTTCTATCATGACATTCTGAAATCTCGAAGCCCTGCAGCTCTGGAAGCCCAGACGCATGTACTTCACAGTGCCACTTTAATCCCTGTAGGCAAAAAAGGAAAGCAAGCCGTCACCCTGACCATCAAACTCCAAGTGGCACATAGAGGGACCTCAATCATGAGAGGTTCAGGAAAAAGGCCAGTCACACGCTCCAGACCCTGTCATGATGCATAAGTCTGACAAGTTTTCTTAAGCCGATGTAGAATCTAAAGTAGGCATCTATTCCGTACCACACATTTTCCACTCCCTAAAAGCACAGTCTTACCCACTCATCTACAACCCTGCAGAATCCCCTTTGCAGGACTCCTCAAGCTTACCCAAACCCTTAAGCGCAGAAAGCATTGGTCTGCGCCATGCGAATAAAATGCAGAAACTCTTTAGGATATCAGGGTTCCGGGTTTTGCGCTAGCCTTCAGCTCTCAACCCCAGACATAGACAGCCTCTGGGATCTGAAGGCCAAGGGTGAGATGCCAGAGGGCCAGCAGCTGCTGCGGTGTCAGCCTGGTCTCTGCGTGCAAAACCCAGCGCACTGGTGCCTGACTGCTTGACGCAGTCTAGCTGTCTAGCTCCAGCAACACTTTTATGAATGAGGAGATTTCAAAAAGATAGATAGTTCTTGATGAGCCCCAGCAAAATACCAGCCAAAAACAAGCTCAATGTTCAGGCTTCAGGTACAGGGTCTTGGACCTCGGATTTGGACTGTAGGGACTTTGGTATTGAATGCAAGGTTGGAAAGTCTGGCGCAGGGTTGTCGTTTGTAGTATGGTGCTTTTAGGTCAGCAATGTTGAAAGAGGTGTATACCAGCATTCCACGACATGGCAAGCCCTAACTTCGCCCATTAATCGACGGGGCTCGAGTACGACAGGTCTGTGAGCAGGCATGAGCAGGCCAGTGCTCTAAAAGGGGCCCGGTGTTATGTGTAAGGACCAAAGACATTGAGTGCACTTGCGGATAGCCCTCGATGGCGAGGTGCAAGAATTCAAATGTATGGAAGATTTCGCAGTCAGGAGTGCAGCACCTTTTTCCGCCGGTCATATCCAACGCCGTAAGCACAAAGATTTCAGATGAAGACCATCAGGTCAAGACGAACATCAACTTCAAGACGGGACAGAAGCAGAAATGCTTTATCAACATCGACCCTTCCTCAGAGGGCTCTAGCAGGGCTTTACGAGGCAGGCAGGCCCGGTAGACAGTGTGCGTGCGCGTGGCTGAAGTTTCTGGATTTGGCGGATGCTGAGGGTCTAGGAGTTCCGGTGCGCACTGTACGCATGCAAACTTCAAACAGCATGGAGGGTAGTTCACGTATAGGCACACCTGCTACTTGGATGTGTGTTTTTAGCCGGGAGATCTGATGAGTTCTGACGTCAGACGTGCAAGCCATGCCTCCGCAGCTGGTGAAACTTTGTAATGACTCACAAGCCACATCTCCGGCCCCAGCCCAAAACCTGGAAGCTTGACCGCAACCTTCAAACACAATCCCGCATTCCTCTCCCTGCCCTAGCCTCATCTGTTGTTCGCAACATCTCCTTTTGAGGTCCACACGGATCGGCTGGAGGAGCATACTTAGACCTATCCGTAGCAGTAGCCTAAGCAATCCTAAGCATGTCGTGATAGGCATCTGTGAGTTGAGGGTACACCCTCATACGCCTTTGAGAAACACAGCCGCAGCGCCAGGACCTCACCTTACTGCCAGCAGAGGGCGGAAGCGGTCATCAGGCCCTGCTTTGCAGTAGAGTTGGGCCTCTTGTTGGGGTGCTGCATCGGGAAGACGTTCTGTCTTTCACAGGGAGATTAGAGAGGGTTAGGGCGGTCAGGGTTTAGGGTTAGCCAAAATTCTACATCCAGTACCCTGAACAGGATCGTAGTATTCAGGAGTATTGTGGTTTTGAGGTGCCACTATCATGAGGCATTGCCCAAACTTCTCCGGAGTCGAGGTGTGTACTTGTATCAGGACGAACTTTGGGTAATTCCAATGAGTTTGGGGGCCTCACTAAGCCGTGTCTGTGAAGATGTCTGGCCGGAAATAGAATTTCCTGGAAGCTGTTGGGATAGAATTCCAAACCTATGGAGCCAGTCCCAGACCTCCTCAAGATTCAGGCATGCATGCCGAAACTAGTCCAGGCATTGGGGTTCGGCACTTGCCACGAATTCAAAGTCAAATGATGGTCAAAACCTGTGACATGTGAAGCAGACAGGGTTTGTGCAAACCTTTTGCGTGATCGAAAAAGCGGTCGTTTGTTGTGGACATTTGCGCATCGTTCCTTCTCTGTTTCTCGCTCTCTCTCTGCCTTTCTCTCTCCAGCGCCGGAAGGCACTTTGAACGTCCAAACCCTGGTGCCTGGTACAACAGCGGACCTGTCATCAGCTACTCAAACTCCTGTATGAGCGTTGTGTCATGGCCTGTTGAAATCTACAGGATTGTTAATTACTTAGATGACTCAGGAGCCAAGCACCTCCCAGCACAGAAACCTTTCCAAGCACCGCCACGCTTTACCTAACTTTCCAAACCATGCGAAGGTCCATTTGCCCTACAGTCTGTCGCCTCCCCGACCGGATCGAGACTTGAAGGTCAGAGCCCCGGCCTCGCACTGCTGCGAGCAGAAGCAACAAAACAGGGAATGATACACAGGCAAAAAGGTTGGCAGAAGGGTTCCTCATGGTAGCCAGGGAAGGATCAATTTTGGTGGGGTGATACAGTTCTGGGCTCTTTGCCCAAGGTCCGAGTCCTGATGCGCTGGCCGCTGCAATTGCGGTCGGAGTTATGAACAATCAAAACTCTGGAAAAATTCGGAGTCGGAATCAGAGTTTCAGGGGGCTTCACAGGTACAACAGCAAAGTTCGGCACTGGACGCAGCGCCCACAAAGCCGAAAGCGGCTCCTGATCAAGAATCGCATGGCGTCTGTATGAGGATGGAAACCTTTTGCAACGACGGATGTAGTACTGTACCATACTGATGGCGCATAGTCATGCGTTGCTCATGCTAGGGGTTGACTTCAGTGGTATTCTCAGCGCATTCACATGGTAGACACAACAATAAGCCCCCCAGAAGGAGCTGTTTGGAATGATCCTTTAGGACAGACACGCAACAATGCAAAGTAAGAAGATGGCGCTGCGCCTAACTGCCCCGCAGTCCCTCACGTGGTGTGCACCACAGACACGTGATCACGAATGCCGCGTGATCTGCAACAAGTCCATTAGCCGTAGCAACGATTGCTACAGCAAACCCGGTTCCTGTGAGTCCTACATGACCGAATCTGCAGGATGAGTACTGCATGACCTGTGACTTCGCCGTGAGCACCGGCACCTTCCAGCGAGCAGCGCAGAGCTCGCAGCCAGCCACCCAGAGCTTTGCAGGGAGACCAAGGGACCGTTAAGCTTTCCAGGGGTTGATGGAGGCCTGTTAGCTTTGCTATTCTAGTTTGGGAGGCGGCTCTACAAGTGCGTGGGGAACTTTTGCCGAAACGAGCCAGCCATGTGTTCCTTTCAGGTATGTGGTCGTAGGATTGGGGTTCCGAGACTCTGCGTCAGAACTTGAATTTGGATTTTGGTGGCTTTGTCCAGATCTGTGTGGCTGATGAGGTGTGCAGGGTGTGTAAAATGTTGGTGGAGGTCTTGAGGGGTGTAAGTAAGCATTCATCCTCCACGATTTTAGCGGGTCAGCATCAAGTCAACCGACCCTCGTCCATGATTTTTTCGATGAACGTTTACAAGCAGCAGGCAGATTGGCCTTCAAGTTGCAGTGTGTGACTTCAGGTCCACTGAAAGAAGAACCCGACAGTCCAAGACTCTAAAGCAATATGCAAATCCTATCTCGATAGCAATCCCTGTAGAATTTCTTAAGCCTGAGAGACTCCCTTCCCTCATCCCGTACTGAGTATTGTTCGGATGACGGGGTTTCAAAAAGCTTGAAAAGCCCTACGCCCCTAAGAATTGGGCCCATTTCACCCCCTAACCTTCCCATGGCAACTGGGCAGGAGAGACTTTCAAGACTCATGTGGACTTCCCACCTAAGAAATCCAGCAGCCGACCCGAAACTGCTATGTGCGATCTTTTGTATGGTGCACTCTAGCACATGCCCGAGTTAAACAAGACTTCACACACATAAGTTGCGTATGCTGTTGTCTGTGCAGCCAGGATACTGAAGTTGCTGATAGACACAGCTGCGGATGGTTTGTCACAACAGCCCGGGACCTGCAGTGGGGGCTGCGACAGGGCTTTCTTGTGCTTTCGGTTTTTGCTTGATGTTTTTTGCGATTCAGGTGCTGCAGTTTTCTCGTGGTGACAGACAGTGCATGCAACATTCATCGTTCCGGCCTTCCTACGCAAAATATGTTTGTTACCTCATGTTGTGTCGTTGCTCACATGTTTCCTGGAGTTTCTTGCCCGCCTTGTATGTAATCATGCAAGCCGACAGGCATCAACTGCATGATTCCTGACATTTGTAGGCCAATAAGGCCCAGCATGCATAACTTGTGATGTAGATGTTTCCAGGCTGCTTTCCCATTTCTAAGGGTGCTTAAGACCGCTTGTTTGGATGCTCGGGTAGCCTACCTGTGGGACGCCGCATAGTAACAGCTCACAAGAATGATCGATTAATTTCTTCAACAAGTTCAAGCAGCGTGGGCATTGTGCAGGTTCACAGAAGCAAGTTCACTTGACTGCGTCAAGACGCTTTTGCCAAGTTTATCTCTCCTTGTTTTCAGGAAGTGTTAGCGACTCGCGAAGACTGCTCCTGAGGTTTCTCAAAGGCCACGAGGAGGTCAGCAAGGACTACAAGGTGCACGATTTCTTTTTTTGCTTCCACCTGTCCGCCGTCTGTCTCTTTGTCTCCGTTTTTGATATTCTTCCTTGGCTTCCACTGTGTTCTTTTACTTGTCTCTTTGGCTTCAGGAGCTGCAAGTCTTGTGCATTGGGAAGACCTATGCCTGGCATCGTTTGGGATTGAAGTCCAGCACCTATTCGTGCTTGCAACATTAGATGGCCTTGTTGTGGGGTGTTACTCCTTCACGTTGGTGTCAACTGGTGTCAAGTTCGTTTAAATCAAGCATCAGCGATTGGTTGCTCTCAGATACAGGAGAAGGAGCAACTAGACTAGGCAAGCACCCTGTCACCCCTGCTGTACCTAGCTGAGAAACTTCAGAGTTCTGGACGTCAGGGCCTTCAACCATGGAATCGTGAACCTACTTTCATCTCCAGTCTAGTCCTAGCGTGCTTCTACAAGTCTACAGATTCCTACCTGCGGGGGCACCCCTTCGCATATGTTTGTAACTGTACAAGAGCTTGAAGCTACATCTGGAAGTTGATATCCTCGGAGGTCATGCAGAGACTTCAGTGCAAGGGAGGGCAGCCCTTGCCTATGTTCCTTGGCAGCATTGGTGTTCGCAAGACCAGAGGTTGCGAAGAACTATCCCGCGATTTGCAGGTCAAATGACCTCAAATGGCATGCCCAGCCGCAACCCTGTCCATGAGACTCCTCAGGCGCATCACCACAAGGATTGATTTCTTGAGACGCCAAGGTTTGCTCCCCTGTTTCATCTTGTTGCTCAAGTCAAATCGAAAATCTGATATATAATCAACATCCAACCCATGTAGAACATGGGTCTTCTTATGTCTCATTGCTCTTGGTAAGGACCCCCTAAGCCACCAGGTCCGTTCGGGCGGAGCTTCTGCGAGACAAGGGAGCAAAGTCGCAGGCCACAGACATGTTTGAACCATGTTTGGAGTCAAATTCCGAAGGTGTCAGCAGTGTCAACCATCTTTCTGCTGTACTCTGCAAAATGTTGTTAACAATTCATGCCAGGATGTTGGGATTTTGAGGTCTCGGCGAAAAGATGCATGAGGGCGCTGCTTTCTTGGCTGGGATTTTCAAGGATGCACGCGTCCAGACACATTTTCCAGAGATCTCCAGGATCTGTGTCGGAGTCATGTACCGATCTAGTAGAAGCAAAGAGGGTGAAACATGCAACCGGCCTAATAGGGACAAAGGAGGGTTCGATGCTTCGGTCGATGCTTCGGAAGACAATGGGAGAAGTACATGCGCACTCCGAGGTCTTCATGATGCATGCGTAGCAGATCCTTTTTCCACGCCTTTCACGGAGGCGCCCAAGAAGATTCCAGACCGTGATGCCATCACCCCTTCAGAGCTCAAAGAAATGCGCGCCTGGGAATGCAGATCATGGGGTTTCCGAAGGCTGGTATGTCGAGCAGCTGTCGTAGATATAGTCTTCATTGAGCCTATTGTTGGGGATAATTTGTTGAACCTGCCGTCGCGTGAGCGGAGCCACAAGTTGCAGAGCTATTGCAGTCGGGTTTCATAGTTCTGTGTAAGGTCAGGCAGCAAAGAACCGGAAGAAGATGTCCGGCGTTCCAGACGCCAAAGATTCTTGTCAGAAGATGGTAGAAGGTGAGCTGCTCTTGAGCCTCATGGAAGATGTAGCAAAGGTATAGAATAGTAAATGCCTTCCCCCCGATATTAAACGACATCCCCCATCCCGTAATATTGAACAATCCGGGCACCAAAAAATTCTTCAATACTAGGGAGATCTACGGAGAATTTATTGAAAAGATTAGATAGGGCTGACTCTGATTTGAAGTGAAAATAAAGAACCAACCGCACTAATCAACTTCCAACTCAGGTCTAACTAGCACAAAAACCGACGGAAACCTAATTAGAGTCAACAGCTGTTGACACCTACTCTCAAAATCCATTTGACATGTCATCCAACCAATCTAAAGGAATCGTATCGGAATCGCTAAATGCGACTAAATCTACCACAAACCAATGAAAATCGAATTAGAACCCATAAAACCCATTCAAATCGCATCTAGAATTTATGCAGTTTTCCGTTTAAACACTATATACCGACAATAACAACTTAGGAAAACAAGGGACCTACAATTCCTTTTGATTATTTACTAGGGACGTGTTTTAATATTGCGGGAGAGGAGCAGGTTCTGCGGTCCAGTTACCTCAAAAATTTGGGAGGGACATTGGTGGCAGCCATTGATCCGCAGCTTTCGACGATCTGGAACGCAGGGTTGCTTTTGGCATTGATGTTACATACGTTTTCTGAAGCCTAAACCGTAAGGCCAAATCCAACTGGAACCAAAAGCGGAAGCCATTTCACCTTGACCCGAAAGCCCGCTCTGCAAGATGCCAAGCCATTAAACTCCGGCAAAAACAGTGAGGATGCCTACATACTATAATTTATTACAGTATGTTACAATATATTATAATCCCTTCCCCCTGATAATAAACGACGTCCCCCCCCCTAATAATAAATAATCCGGTGGGTCAGAAATTATTTATTATTAGTGGGGCATATTTCTTGAAAGGATTTGGTAGGGCCGCCTTTAAATTCCTTTTTAAAATCTATTAAACTCGAATTAAAATCCCGTTAGAATCAATTGAAATGTAATTAAGATTCCATTTAGAATCCATTAAAATCGAATTAAGATACCGTTAGAATCAATTAAAATTTTTATTTGAAATTCCTTTTAAAATCAATCAAGATCGGATTAAAATCACGTTAGAATCAATTGAAATCTATTTAACATTCCTTTTAAAATCAATTAAATCGAATTAAAATCCCGTTAGAATCAATTAAAATTTAATTAAAATTCCTTTTAAAATCAATTAAAATCGAATTAAAATCCTGTTAGAATCAATTAAAAGTTGATTAAAATTCCTTTTAAAATCAATCAAAATCGAATTAAAATCCCGTTAGAATCAATTAAAAGTTGATTAAAATTCCTTTTAAAATCAATCAAAATCGAATTAAATCACGCTAGAATCAATCTGAATCAATTGAAATCTAATTAACATTCCTTTTGAAATCAATTAAAATCGAATTAAAATCCCGTTAGAATTAATTGAAATCTAAATTTTTAGAATCAATTGAAATCGAATGAGATTCAAT